TTATTTTGTACTTTTTCATAACTTTTTTACATTTTTATTTCCCCCCCCCCCACCCCCACCTAATTTTATTTCTATCACATAGGGATTTAAAATCCTCTAAGTGATAGTTTGGTGGTGACAGGTTCTTTTTATGGAACCTGCCCTCCAACACAGAACTGATGTTCTGTGTAGTTCCTGACAGCTGAGACAGCGCACCCTGTCTCAGTGATAACACAGGACAGACGAAAAACTTCCGTTTTTCGTCTGCTCTATGGTGAGCTCATGTTCCGTGGTTTCGGGTCCGCTAGAGGAGCGGGGACCCCGAAAACCACGGGGAAATGGGAGCGCTTACATGGGTAAGAGGAAAACCATGAGAGAGCAGAGTCTTGTAGGCCAAGTGAGTTAGTTTTTTTTTTGAGGAGGAGCAGGTGGTCCACAGTGTCAAAAGCAGCAGAAAGGTCTAATAGCAAGAGTAAGGAATAGTGGCCATTGTGTTTAGCTGTTAGTAAGTCATTAGTTTTTTTTTTTTTTTAGGAGGGTGGTTTCAGTGGAGTGTCGGGGGCGAAAGCTGGACTGTAAGGGATTGAGGTCTCGGGGAGGTTTGAGTCACTATATTACAACTGCATTCCCAATAAGCTGGACATATGGAAAGAACATGTGTAAACATGTGGCCTACCTCCATTGTGAATGTGGTGTAGTAATTTTGCTGCCGATTGGTTTGCAAACCATTGTAATTGTCCATTAAGTCTACAGTTGTGTAGTGGTTAGCGCTTTAGCTCTTCTAAGGTCGGGGCAGATGGTAGTCCAAACTTTGAGATCTTAAACGAATTTTCATGAGGAATCTTGTTTTTTTTTTTTAAATTTTTCTTAAAGTGCTTTTTAAACATAATACACAATGATCTTTTATAATTTTTTTTTCGTGATTTACTTGGGGAGCTGCAGGCTTTCGGCTGGATGAGGGAAGTATCGGAGAGGACGAAAGATGATCGTAGGATACTACCACACATGTTTTGACCGTCCTAAAAAAAAAAGTTTCTACTTTCTGGCGAGTGAGGATCTGTACACGATTAACACATGGTGAAACATCATAATTGGGAGTGAAAAAGTGAACAGAATTTTGAAGTTTTTTTTTTTGTCGTCATATGGGCTTCCTCGGACACTTTCTATGGAATAGATAACAATTAATCTTTAATTTGCAGACAATCATTTGCACAAGGTTGGATGGAATCTGTCTACACGTGGTTGTGAAGGACAGAGGTTAGTTGCATCTAGGTTTTGATGCTGACTTTTGTTGTTCCGGACACATGTCAACGCACCATGTGTAAATGCATGTGTCTCAGTCGGTGGCAGAATATTGGATTCGTCTGGACGCATATGCACATAGATGCATGCGTACGTAAGTGCTTCACGCAAATAGCAGTATATTTCTGGCCACCTGGCTGGCCAGATTTTTTTCTCTGCACATGGAGGCTTGGGGTCCAAATGGCAATGAATGTAGCTGTATGCGGCCTACCTTAGGTGTATGGGTACCCACTATGTGAACCTGGTTGGCTTAAGCTCAGCATATGGGGGTTCCCCACAACAGGATGTTGGTGCATCCTTTTACTGGACGCATGCAGTTTAAACATCTGTGGGCTGTTTATAGCATATGTTCTGTTAGGGGACTTCAATGGGGGCATAGCTTTTTTTTCTTCCAGGCTATTACATGAATATCAAGCTTGGTCTTGTATCCACCCCAAGCATGGCTTCAGGTGGTCGGTTTCGTGTTTCATTCTCTTCGATTTCACACAAGAGAATCGGCCTTATATCTGGGAGGATGGCAAGGTTTGTATTCGCCCTGCGGAGAAATGGTGCAGGAATACTGGCTGCTCTCTGAATTCAGAAGGCATTTTGCATGCTCAGGCACACGATTTAGAGAAATTTTATTTGGTACAATTAAAAGCTGTGTGTTTTATGTCAGATTATTTGTGGTGGAGCACTGAAATCGAACACGGAGGTGTGATTTGAAACTATTCTGGGCACACACCCGAATGCAGCAGAACTGCTCGTGGGAGCTTACAATCTAGTAAGAGGGGCAAGTGATATAAAAGGTAACTGTTTAGTTTGAGTTATTGGAAGAAGTAAAGGGGCTTTTATGTTGAGATGAGAGGCTTCCCTGAAGAGATGGGTTTTTAAGGATTGTCTAAAGGTGGGCAGTGTAGGAGATAGGTGGGCAGATTGGGGTGAGGTGTTCCAGAGGATGTGGGACACTTTGGAGAAGTCCTGGAGGCGAGCATGGGAGGAGGTAATTGCATAACAGGAGGTCTTGAGGGGACGGTTTGGGTGATATTTTGAGATGAGGTCGGTGATGTAGGTTGGGGCGGAGTTGTAGATGGCTTTGTATTAGAGGTGCACCGAAATGGGAATTTTAAAACCGAAATAAAAAAAATTGTCAGGCCGAAACAGATACCGAAATGTGTTTTTTTTTTTTTT